TGCCTGTAGATGTTACTGTATCCTAACTCGAAGCTGAATTTATGAGATTTAGGCATATTATGAAAGGAGGTGTACAAGTTAGAAGTAATAGGGTTGGTTCAGCATACATTATATTCATCTTGGTTCACTAACACCTACAGATTGTTATCATGTGTCCACTTAACTCTAGTTGTTGTTCTTTTCAACTCGATAACAACTAGACAAGCCTCCATGATAATGGGTGAAGCCTGAAAAATGAATAGTCACAGTAATGCATCTTCATATCATGTACTAAAAAGTCTAGGAAGTAAACACATTCTAAATTCTATAAAAAGATAGACAGTGCAATGATATTTCAGGGGCACATACCTTTATGGCACTGTTCATGGATCTCAAATCTTCAAATTCAAAAAAACCAAAGCAGAATCCTTGTTGCTGCAGAAAAGGGAATAAGTAGACACATATTGACAATTTGTAGGTAACTGAACCAAGATGATATAACGTGATGCACTAACCCTATTACTTCTAACTTGTACGCCTTCTTGCTTAATAGGCCCATATGTCTTAAATTCAGCTTCAAGTTGGGCTACAGTAACCTCTAGAGGCAAATTTCGGACATAAATAAAGTATCCCTCAGCTGCAAGAATTCAAATTTAAGTAAATTAGATGACAATGTACTCTTAATGGGACTTTAAGCAATGAGAAATTCAAAAGCAAAATGAACATGACAATTGCAAGCAAATCAGATAATACAACATCTAGATCAAACTCAAAACGCATCTACTTATTGTGCTCCTTTATTTGCTACAAAAATTAAATATGGACATCGCTATTCAATTTTTTCAGACATAGATGTGTCCATCATATGATCGAAGTGTTGAGTTTATTTTAGACAGGTTTCAAGAGATTATATCTTCATCTTCAACATTATTATCTTCAGGTACATCGATTCCACTATTGGTAGTAGGATTTGATGATTCAGGAGCTGCGTTTTGTGCTACTACAGCAACTGGTTGTTTTACAGCCTTCAGAGGAGCCACTCTGGAAGTATTGGTGGATACATGGATTTTGGTTGGCCCTTTCTTTATTTGTGAACTAACATTGGATGCATACGACTTCTTTGGAGCATCCTCTTGGGCAACAGAATTAGCTAATTCTGTATTTGTAGGGTGCTGGTCCTCGTTGAAATATGATCCAGTTTCCACAACAATCTCTCTTTCATCAGCAACTTGCCTCCTATCTATCGAAGAGTCATTGGCTTTTTCCTCAACATGTTGAACTTCTCCTGCAGGTGAGTCAGCTTGGTCGAGATTTGGAGGATCAACCACATGAGTAGGTTTTGTATTCAAAATGAAAATAGTAAAATATTTTAAGAGGATAAAAGAACAAGTACATTTATTGAATTAGAAAAGAGATCCAACCTTGATCAGGGGTCAAAATCTCTGACTGGCATCCTCAGTTCCATTAAGCACTTCTGAAATGGTATCAATCTTATTATCTTCGCCATACCTAAAAACATCATTCAACACAAAATAACCCTTTTCATGCGGAGCAAGGAAAAATGTCTGGGCGAATTTGCTTTTTAAGTTATCCCTTCCAGTTAAGCATCCATTCACCAAAACAACCACCCCATCCTTGAAGGAATCCTGTGCATCTGCAGTCCTTATTTCGGCCTTGTAGTTCTTGTAGTCCAATGAACATATCAAAGTGTTGATATTCTGCTCAATCATCAAGAAAAGCTATAAGGTTTTACATATTGCAAGATAATATTCAATTTATCACCTTATCATACAATTCTTGCTAATGATTCTTCAATTAATAATATCTCTAAACAAGATTTTAAAAAAGGTGCACCAAAGAACAATACAAGTAATACACTTTTGGCATTCTACTAATCATGTAAAGTTAGCAACACTTTAAGTACACAATATAGATATGAGGAAGGCATTTTCTAGACCAATGGAATTCTCCAAGCGGAGAAGGGTCTAAAATAACCTTATAGTATTAGAAATGGTACAAAAATACCCCTCGTTTTTCTTTTGGCCTTAATATACACTTGGGGTTAACCTTTAGGTACCTATTTTGCCCTTTTGGCTAACAGACTATAAGTCAATATTTTTAATTATTTCATTTATTACGTGGCATGTTGTAATTGGTTAAAAATTCAATTAATTAAAATCTAATTAGTTTAACCCAAACCACCCTATCCACCCGGATCGACCCGACCCATCTTTCAAAATACCCAACCCATCCAAATAAAACATCTGTTACCCATTTCATTTTTAAAAAACCTAAACATTTCCCCCAACATCATCTGTTCTTGGAGCTGCGGCGATGTTCAAGTCAAAGTGAAGAAATTGATTTTCTACTCCGATAAAGTAAGAACTGAAGACTTACTTTTAATAATTTTCATAAATATTGTGTAATGATTGTTCGATTAAATGTATTTCGTAAATAGTTAGGGTTTAGTTTTATTCAATTTTTGATTGCATTTTGTCTCTTGTACTGTAGTGTGTGAAGTTTGTGTAGGGTTAACATTATATATTATTTTCTGATGTTAGAGTCTTTTATCGCTTCATACATGTTTTATAGATTGTTCTCGAGTATGTATGTGTGTGATTGGTATGTGTATGACTTCATTGGTCCCAATTTGTGCATTTTTGTTTGTTTTGTGTTGTATTCCATGTGAATAAATAATGTTAGTGGTCCCTATAACTTTACTACCTTTATCTTTATATTAAATAATGTTAGTTTTCCTATAAGTTGTTTTGTTTATAGCTAACAATTCCTTTTAATTTTTTTCTTCCATGTGAAAAATTTGAAGAATGACCAAAAAAGTTGATTTAGTATTTAACTATGGGGGCAAGTGAGTCCTTTCTCCTCAAGTTGTATACATTAAAAAATTAAATGAAACCTGGCATGGTTATGATGTGGATTTGCTGTCATATATTGACATTTGCTTAGAGTTCATTAATAAATGTGGGTTTAGGGCTGTGAAACAAATGTTAGTAACAGGACCAACCGGTAGGTATTATTTGCTTGAGGATGATTCAAGCATTAGGACTCTACAATCTGCTCTGTCTAACCAGTTTAGTGTTCTTCAATTATTTGTTGTAGATGAGGGTGAAGCTACTGTTGTTATTCCTAATATTTGTGACTTGAACAAGCCTTACCCTATTGTGCCAGTAGAGGTAGCAACAGATTGTGAATCAAATGAAGAGGATGAGGATCAGAATGAACCTATTCTTAGTGATTACAATAGTGATGAGTTGGAAGTCTTTAAAAAGGAAAAAAAAGAGAGATCAATGACAAGATAGACAGATTCTTAGAGTTGGAAAAAGGTATGTGCTTTAACGATATTAAAGAAGCTAAACGAATTGTGAGTTTTTACTCTATTGTTAGAAAGGTTGCACTTAAAGTTGAAAAAAGTGACTCTACAAGATTGAGATATTTGTGTGATATTGGTTGTCTATTTGAGTGTTTGATATCTGAAGATAGGAAAAATCAGGGATTCAAAATTAAAACCTTGAACACCAAACACTCATGTGGTGAAAATGCTTTTAAGAATAGAAGAGTCACTCAAGAAGCTTTAGCACACTACTTCAAGAAAAAACTTCAGAATAATCCAAAGTACAGTGTTAAGATATGAGACAAGATTTGGATGATAATTTTAATTTGAATGTTAGTTATTCCAAGATGAAGAGAGATAAAAGGCTCGTGTTAGAGAAATTGGAGGGTAGCTACATTGATGAATTCAATAAGTTGGAGGGTTATGCTCAAGAATTGAAGAACAGCAACCCAGGTACTGATGTTATCATAAATATATCTAGAGAGGCTTTGGAACAAGGAAAAAGAAGATTCTTAAGAATGTATGTATGCATTCAAGTTTTAAAAAAATGGATGGAAAGGAGGTTTGAGGCCTTTTATAGGGCTAGATGGGACCTTTTTAAAAGGAAAATGCAAGGGAATCTTATTGGTTGCAATGGGACAAGATTCAAGGAAACACTTTTATCCACTTGCTTGGGCAATGGTGGACAGAGAGACACTTAGAACATGGAGATGGGTTATTGAGCTGTTGAGAAATTCTCTAGACCTGGCAGATGGTGAAGGAGTAACATTCATGTCTGATATGCATAAGGTAGTTGTTTCTGATTTTAGTAAGTTTTTTATTTCAGTGAAATTCTTATACAAATAATACTTTAACTTGTTATGATTTTAATTGTTACAGGGGCTACTGAATGCTTTTAGTCAGGTGTTTCGTAAAGCACATCATAGATGGTGTGCAAGGTACATAGAAGCTAATTGGAGCAAGGATTGGAAAAGTGTACAAATGAAGAAGTTACTGTGGTGGTGTGCCTGGAGCACCTATGAAGAAGAATTTCATGATCAATTGAAAGTCATGGGTGCTATGTCTAAACAAGCTGCAAAGGATTTGGTATGGTACCCTGCACAAAACTGGTGCAGGGCTTATTTTGACACAGTCTGCAAAAATCATTCATGTGAGAATAATTTTACAGAGTCATTCAACAAATGAATTATAGATGCAAGGGCAAAACCTATAATCAAGATGTTAGAAAATATTAGAATCAAGGTGAGTTGTTACTGTTTATAATATCATCATTTATATTACCTTAATATAGCTGATAGGTTTTATATAGGTTAGATTAATGTGGGATAACACTGAAAATTAGAGTTTGAGATTTTTATAGTTTGGTGATTTTGAGTTTTCAGCTCATAAAGTTGTACTTTTTCTTATTCTTTTCAATGACTGTTGCTTTTTATTGTGATCTATGACCTTGTTTCTCTTTATTTGAATCTCTTAGATATTTAAAAAACCAACTTATCAGGAACTGAATTTCACATTTGAGATAAAAGCTTTAAAGAGCAGTGTTCAATTCTGTGTAAATTTATTTCCATTGACAGATCTAGTGTTTTAATAGAAATTATAGAATATAGATTGATGTGATTGTTACATTGATAGGTAATGTTGTTCTGACTTCTTTATTGTTATATAGGTTATGAATAACTTGCAAAAACTTGAAGAAGAGGGTAGAAATTGGAATGGATAATTCAGTCCATATGCCATGGAGTTGTATAATGATTTCAATATCATTGCACAATGTTGTCAAGTTCAATCTAATGGAGACTAAGGATATGAGGTAGTTGAGGGTGAAGATAGGCATGTGGTGAATCTTAATAGGAAGAAGTGTACATGTACGACATGGGACTTGACTGGTATACCATGTCCTCATGCCATTAAAGCATATCTTTATGACAAACAAGAGCCACTAGATCAATTGAGTTGGTGGTATTCCAGAGAAGCTTACATGTTGATATACATGCATAAAATACAACCTGTTAGAGGTGACAAGTTTTGGAAACTTGATCCTTCTCATGCTATTGAGCCACCAGAAATACATAAATTGGTAGGCAGGCCAAAACTTAAGAGAAAGAGAGAAAAAGATGAGGCAAGGAAAAGGGAAGGGGTGTGGTCTGCTTCAAGAAAAGGACTAAAAATGATGTGCGAACATTGTAGTGCAACAGGTCACAACCAAAGAAGATGTCCTATGGTATGTAATTTTCTTTACTTGGTCAATAGTTACACTAGTTATTTCAATATCGAACTAATTTTGCCATTTTTATAGCTTCAAAGATCAAAACAACCAGCCCAAGATGTGCTTGTGTCAACACCCCAACCATTCAAGAAGAATATGGTATCATGTCTACTCCTGGCTTTGTTGCTTCTTCAAGTCAACAGAGTAGCCAACCTGATGGTCCTTCAAAATCAAAGGAAATTGAAAAGAACCCTACTGGACCTTCAAAGTCAAAGAGAAAAATAATTGTTTATGAATCTGAGGATGGGAAACATGTTGAACCTTCAATTGCAGTTGCTGATGAGGATGGAGATGAACATGAAAGTGGAGACGAGCAGACTATTCTAAAGCCAAAGGCAATTTCTGAATCTAGGACTAGGCTTCAAGCTAAAAAGATGTAGATTCGACAAACTGGTACTAGGAGGATTGACTTCAAAGGAGATGAGAATGGTGTGAGCATTCCAACTAATCTACCATACTCACCAAGAAAATTGGCATGGAAAGGAAAAGAAGCTACGACTTCAGATCATTTCACAATTGAAAAGGAGAAAAGAATTGGCAAATTGAAGGCAAAGAGGGGTGGGATGAAGTAGTTGCATTATGAAGTTGTTATTTTTTTTGTTTTCTGGTGTTTTGTTATGGCATGATGAAACTTAAATATTTTGACTTTTTTAATGTTACTATGTCTTGAACAAGTGCATGTAACTTTTTGTAGGTTCAAAATATATGACAATGCCATTATCACTTATCTGTGGAGTTGTTGTATTTTGTTTTTCAGTTGCATTATGCATGTTGTTTGATGGTAGTCTTAACAGATCTTCTGTGTTGTGAATCCCTGGTGATATTTCTTTTTAACTAGATTGAGTTGTAAGATTTTGCAGATTGCACTTTTTGCAATAATATTGGCAGATTGTAAATTCCTGTAAAAATTTACAGTTTGCAAATTGTTCTAAAAATTGCAGATTGCATTTTGCTGTAAAAATTTGCAGATTGATGAAAAATTTGCTAATTGCATTTTGCTGCAAAAATTTACAGATTACAAATTGATGTGTAATAGGTGTAAAAACTTGAAGATTCTGCACACTGCATTTTGCTGTTTAAAATTGCAGATTGCATGGTGCTGTAAATAATTGAAGTTTGCCATAAAAATGTGGATTCTTGTAAAATGCAGATTGCTAAATGGTAAAATGCAGATTGCAAAGAGATTTTCCATTACAATCAAGAGATTAACACGATTACTAACAATTTTCCACAAGCAAAACACGATGACATTACATTAGTTGTAACCTGCAGATTGCTAACATTACATCAAAATACAAATGACTACACCACACTACTATAGACCGACTACACACTAATAGAACAGAGCTACACCAAACATGATATTCTGTACACAATGCTCATCATCACCAACAAGAGAGGAAGAAAATCACGAACAATATCACATTTACGCGAATGATGAATCTTCCATGCTGAAAGGTTTCTCCTGAATGGCTTACTATAGTGGTATTAACTTTACATTTTTTCTCATGGACAAGGTAAATATTGGTGGATATATGTATGTATGTACGTTCGAGATTGGTTTCGTGGCAAAAAAATAGGAAATGTATGTTTAGTTGGACCTCGAGGGCAATATGCAAGGGCAATTTCGAGACTGAATTTAAAGTCTTCAGCTTGTATTTTCTTTGTATTTGGTTGTTTCTTTTCCTTTTCTCACCGCACTCGAACCTTGACCAATTAAACCATATGTTTGTCCCTTTTACTTCTCGATGTGAAAACACAGAGCCAGGGCGCTGATCTTTGAATAGGAAAATGAGTCATTCCATATCGCGGTGGTTGATCTTCCTTTCTCTTAGACGAGTTCTGGACCATTTGGTAGTAGATTATTACCATCATGATGCTTATTCTTGTGTTCAACAGGTATCAACTTCAATATTACTGCAACTATCAAGCTTGCAGCACCAATTAAAACACTGAGTAGCCATAGTTTCCAGTTGAGCGGTGTAGTGCTTGCCAACGTGCCTAAGAACTCAACGATGATAACTTGGAAAACGACAGTGGATGTTATGACACCTACGAACCTGTATCAAACCACGGAAAATATCTCAGTGACAATATTACACATGTGAATCCATAACAAGGAAAATGTTCATTTATTTTCCATCCGTATAATGCACCAAAGTTTACAGCAAGTACCTGACAGAAAACAAAATTGTTGAAAATGAAAGTATTGAGAACTATGGTAGCATCTGAACCTTCGAGCCTCAGAATCTGCTTTCCCGTGAAGTTGGAAACTAAAAGTATAGCTAGTTGGAAGATACTTTGTCCGATTATATTTCTCCACATCGTCTTGGAAATCAAACTCACTTCCCTTCCAACAAGAGGTCTGTTCATTAGTTCTTCATGTGGTGGTTCTGTAGCCACACAAGCTTGTCCATTGGTGATGCTCGAGTATTCACCTACATTCAAGATTCGAGCATTTCAGGAGTTTACAGCCCCTTCTTTGCTTGTCAATATCACCACTAAGAAGCAATCCATATTCTAATATTGCTGATTCTGTTGGTGTACCAAGGAAAGATTTCTTTCCGCCCTTTGCCTTAACAACCTCTGCTACCGTATTATGAAATATTGCCTGCAGCAGCAATGTCATTTCATTTTCACGTATGGTCAAAGTTATTGCATCCCGACTTGCATCAGTTTCTACCTTTTTCATTTTTTCACAAATCCATATCTTGTTAACTACCATTTGGTTTGTTGTTAGTGTTCATGTCTTATATGTGCAGATGCAAGTAGATGATCCCATCGTCTCACATGGGGAAAGATGTCTCACCAATGCCTTATTATCCATTAGCTTTTTCATTGCAAATGCAAGACTCAATGTCACTGCCAGAGGCAGTCCTTCTGGAACCGCAACAACAATTATAAATCGGAACCTTTTGCCTGGATCCATCTCTTGTGACCTGGATAAGTACTTTTTTGTACTCCTTATCCAAATCCCTGAACTGCAACGAATGCCTATAATCACTAATTGCAGTAACAACGACTACCAAGAATATACTAAGCAGAATACCTAGTCCATCATACGTTCCTTTTGGCCAGCCTTCCATGACAAATCCCACACTAATGGAGACAACAACACAAACCATGAGGATAATGAGAGTGATATCCTGCAAATCCTCCCAGAAAACTTAACAAATCTTCTGAAGAAGATGAACTCCAAGAGAGCTCTAAGAACTGATGATGTTGAGGGAAATGTGTAGGGTTTTTTAAAAAAGAAATGGGTAATGGATGTTTTATTTGGATGGGTTGGGTATTTTGAAAGATGGGTCGGGTCGATTCGGGTGGATAGGGTGGTTTGGGTCAAACTTATTAGAATTTAATTAATTAAATTTTTAACCAATTACAACATGCCACGTAATAAATGAAATAATTAAAAATATTGACTTAGTAGTCTGTTAGCCAAAAGGGAAAAATAGGTCCCTAAAGGTTAACCCCAAGGGTATTTAAAGGCCAAAAGATAAACGAGGAGTATTTTTGTACCAATTCTAATACTATAAGGGTATTTTAGGCCCTTCTCCGTTCTCCAAGTCTCAAATAAATTTGTTGCCAGCTTTTAACACCCAAAGATCTACTTATCAAAAGAAGGTACCAAGGACCTTGGAACATCTATACGTTGTAATACAAACAGGTTTTACACATTTCTTAATCTCTGAAAGGACTTCCAACTTCAGGATACCAATAGTTTCTCTTGGTCATATTCTTTCATTTTACATAGTGGACAGCATGAATTAAAGTCATAACTTTGAAACACGTTTTTTATGACCGAAAATCTGTTGTTGCTGTCACCGAAACTCAATGGATAATAGGTCACCTTCCACCCTTCTTTACTTAAATACAAAATTCGGTTCACAACAGAATTTGAGCCATGACGTGCGTGAACATCATGTCCATGTTGTACTACCTTTGCTATTATACCAAAGGCATTGAGGGCCAGTTCTCAAAATCAACTTTTCCAATACTACCAACCACGTTTATTTTTCCTGAAAGAGCATCCTAAATTAATTTTGAGAATAACTCCACGCACTACTTTCTAAGACCCCACCAAGTTGTTACATCAAGCTTTAAACCTCGCTTTAAAATTCATGAACCAAAGGTTACATGCCTTTGTCAAATTCAAAGTATTTTTTGGTGTTAAATAAGCATCTTCTCTACAACATCAACTAAGTGCCCATTTCCAACAAGTATACGAAGAACGTCAAGTACCCATTTCAATTTTCTCAAACAGGAAGTAAAAGATGCTACAGGAAAATAATTGATATTATCTTCTTTTACTTTGGAAGGTAAACAATTGGTGATACCTATTTTCACAAATAGAAGAAAGATATCTTTCGACAACAAATCAACAATAACTCAGAATTTCCCAAATTTAAAAAATTGGGAATACCAAAAGCTTTCAAACTTCTAAATTAGCACCACAAAATTAGTAAATGTTTTGCTGGTATGACCAAAGTATCATCCTCAAGTCGAGGGAAAAGAATAGAAGACTACAGATCATGCAGTTAAGCATTAAACTATAAAAGCTCTACATATCAGTTTCAATAACTACAGCTCTTTCAAATATCTGCATTGCTTCTATTACTGGAGGAGATATAGGGCAAGTGGAAGAAACATTCAAAAGGGATCTTTTCATTAGCAAGTATATCGAAAATTATTAGAGAGAGAAATGAAATGAATACCAAACAAATCCAGCTATCACATTTGCAGACTCTACTTACTATGCACTGTAAAGTGCCAATTCTTAAAATCAGTGTTTTTTCTAAAATCAAATCTCGCACAAGAAGTAGGATTTTGATACTGACCCACCTATCAAGAGGTACTTCAGAAGAAAGTTTCGACAAAAGAATAAAGAGTTTAAGACTTTTAGACAAACACAACTGCTACAGCAGATAGACCTGTTCCCTAGATTTGCTCCAGCGATTGGTCTAGCAATTATATTATTCCTAGTTTGTAGTTTATGGTGTCAGTATTATCCTATTATGTTCTCTATATATATGTAATACGATTAGTTATTTGGGGTATGCGATTAAGAATTAAAACTACTATATTCTAGAGTATTGTCCTCTTCATACGGACAACTTTATTAGTATAATTGTTTTTAAGATTCTTGCACAAACTATTGTCAATAAATTTACTTGCTTTTCTCTATTTCTTTGGTTCTGTACATATGGTAAATATCAGTTTGTATCATAGCAGATCGATCCAACATGGTCATTACCAGATTTTCTAATTCACAAGAAAGCGTTCACAATGCTGAATCTCTTGTCTAACAAATATTTGTCATAGCATCTAAAGTAAATACGACTGACTCACTGGCAGCAGATGTTGCAACGTTGAAAGCCCAGACTAGTTGCCCTCAACAAGAAGAATCCAGTCACCAAAACCATAGTAGAGGAAAATCTGCTTGGCAAGAAAAGGAAGAAGACATTGATAGTCCAGCTTGGCCAAAAAATACTTCCCCGAGGCCATATACCGATGAGGATAGATTTTGAAAATAGAAAATTATTTCTGCTATTAATAAACTCAAGCGGAACATTAATTTGACATTGCAGCGATGTATTTGGAATGGGATGTTGCTTTGGATCTCTTTTCTTGGATAAATCGTGAGCTAACTTTACTTTATTGGGAAGAACTTGTTAAAAAGCATTGCAATAAAATTATGGTTTTGCAGAGTTTCAAAATCCCGACAAGCACCTTTGTAAAATTCAACAAACGAGTTTTATACTGGGTATCGTCAAGAATTTGCAAAACATTCATCTAGGGTCATAAACTGGATGGATCACTGTCTCTTTGGAGTGTCCTTGAATTGTTTACGGGACTATGAGTTTGGCACTTGAATTTGAAAATAAATTAAGCCCAACTCGAAGTAATAGAGTGCCTAAGTGGACCCTAATCAACAAACCCATTGTACAACCATTGAATTCTATGGAAACACCCAAAAAAATTCTTCCTCTACATATCACAATCCGCGCAGCAATGTTACTTCCAACCCAGACGTTTCCCAACCTCTTCAAATGCAGACTTTGGAACTGAGGAGAAATCTTATGGAACAAGGACTTTGTTATCGTTTCCATGAGAAATTTGCACCCGGTTAGATGCAAATCTGCAAAACTATCTCTCATGGAGATTACCAGAGAAGATCAATTGGAAGAGGTTGATGAGGTCAATGTAGTAGTTGGAGATAAACCTCAAGAAACAGACATTGCTGAAATTTCTTTCAATGCCATTTTGGGACAGTCAATTGATGCTACAATGAAGTTTCAGGTTGAGATCAACCATAGAAAGGTTTTAATACTAAAATATAGTGATGTATTAAAAGATAGTGGTCCCACACATAATTTTGTTGTTGAATCCATTGTGAAATGTGAAAGAGCATAATTTATCTGTAGAAATAGTTCTAACATTCAATGTGCAAATAGGGAATGGGTACATCATATGCTGCAAAAAAGTATGCCCGAAATCTTCAAATTCAATTCAAGATAACTACCCTTTTGTAATTGCAGGGGCTGATTTGGTTTTTGGTATCAAATTGTTGGCTACTCACAAGACAATTCAAGCTAACTAGAAGGATATGTTCAAAATTTTCAATTGGCAAGGGAAACATTACAAATTGCAATGCTTGAGATCAACAGATTCAGACACAGCTTCTCTCCAATCTTTAACATGCTATAAGAAAGTCCACGTAATCAAATTCAAACACTTCTAGATTAATTTCAGTTGTGGTTTCTGAACCAACATCTCTTCCACCATTTAGAGCATATTCTCATGTTATTCCTTTACTACCAAATTCTAACCTCCAAACATCAGACTTTACCATTACCCACATGACCTTACCATTGCCCACATGGTCAAAATACTGAAACTGAGAACCAAGTTGCAGCTTTATTTAAATTTGGTTTCATACGTCCTAGTTCAAGTCCCTTTGCTAGCCAGTTCTGCTAGTGTAAAAGAAAGATAACTCTTGGCTGATCTTTGTGGGTTACTGTAGACTAAACAAAATCACAGTCTCAGACACATACCCATTCCCTATATAGATGAGTTGTTAGATGAATTACATGGAGCCACAAATTTTTCTAAAATTGACCAAGAAAGATGCTTTTTCTTAGCATGCAAAAGTGGAAGAGGTTTTCCAAAATTTAAAGAGGATCTTGACATCAGTACCAGTGCTTCATCTACCTAACTTTACTCAAAAGTTTATAGTTGAGTGTGATGCACTCTTAGCCTTTAGGGTTTACACTTCAGACTTCAGACTCTTTATAGTGACTTCATAGTTGACACTCAAATTTCACAATCATATTCCATATAAAGTAATTAATTACGTAATATTATATTTAAACTAATAACACAATACAATACAACAGGATACAACCATTCAAACAGTGTATTAATGTTGGTTGACCACCATTAGTTTGAGGGGATGCTAATCACCATCAATTACAATCTCTACCTACCGTAATTCTTTTAAAATAACTGAAAATATGGTACAGTGCTACAGGAAATCAGATATGGGAAAGAAATCACCAAAAATGTGGCATGGTGCTATAAAAATCAATTATGAGAGAGTATCACCAGAAAGATATGTAGTTACTCAACTTTTTCTTATATAATTTTTGGACAGACGTCTAACATCTCGTAACTAGAATTAACTAAGAATAATATAAGAAGCCAAGAATAATTATTTTTGAAAATAAGTAAGGAAATCTGGAAAATTTCGAGCGAGTTTTGGTCATTTTCAAACGGCCATAATTTCCATCTCAAAAGAGGTTTGGGTGAGTTCTTTATATGGTTGGAAATACCTTGAGAAGATCTTTCCAACGCTGCCTAGTTTGCATAACTCCGATGTCGTATGAGGGAGAAATGTCTTTCAGAAGTAGGGTTATTGGACTGAGGAAAGTCCAATCAGAATTTTAGTAAAGGCAAAGTTGTCTTTTCACCCTAGTATTTCCTAATTTTTTAAGGTTATATTAGGGGTGAAAAAAAGTCCCAAATATGTTTTTCAATATTTCAGAATGCTTAGGGTTTGGGAGAAAATGAGAAAAGAATATGAAGACCAAGAATCGTCCATGAACGCCAAGATCGTTGCGTGGATTTCGTCGGGGGTGGTCTCTATCAAGGTATGTTAGATCATTCGGTGTTGGTTCCTTTCACCCACCCTAAAACTTGATTCAATACAATAATTTAGAGTTATTTG